CTGTTACTCACAGATCTGCCGCGGGGATCTCTGAACTTTTGGTGTCCGCAGGTCTGTAACTGGGGATCTCTGAACTTTTGGTGTCCGCAGGTCTGTAGCTGTGGTCACAGGTCTCTGTCCCCAGTGGCTGCAGGGTCCTGGTATGCGTCTGAGATCAGACTGGGTGGTGCTGAGGCCAGGGTCCTAGTCTCAAGCAGCTCTGTTTCCCAAGATGGCGTGGTCGCTGTGCCTGTGCTGGCTGCCCAGGAGTGTCCGCACCAGGAGCGGGACTCCGCCGCCTAAGACTGCCCGGTTTAGCAGCCCCTTAGAAGACCTGCAGAATCTAACTGTCCCTAGCTCATACACACATACCACACACGTCCACACACTCCTCTATCACTTCCTTGCGCTCTCACACTCTCTCCCTCCCTACCTTCCTGCTGGTCGCCATTTTCCTCCTGCATTCAGTCTTGATTAGCCTCAGGCTTTTGACCACAGGGTGAAGTGTGTTTTCAACAGGGTATGGCAATTGCTTCTGCCCGCAGGCTGATTTTTATTCTCAGCCTCTTAATGGGTCTCAAAAACTCCAGAGGCTGGAGCAATAGGTTTCCTATTAGGGTGGGGCAATTGCCTTGATAGCAAAGGTCTACTGGAGAAAGATAGCTTGAGGGAATGACTCAGCCCAGGAAACAGGGGTGACTGCCCTCTGAGCTCCAAACCCAGAGCCCCCAACCCTGGATTCTCCTCACACAGCTTCAGTCCACTCTGTTCTCCCTCTGCTGGAGCCCAAGGTGAGTGCTACAATATTCTGTGAATTGGCCCTTTAAGAGGGTGCCTGCATTTCCAGCCATCTCTCGCTGGCAGACAGCCACCCTGATGTTTTTTTTTTTACAGCCAAGTGTTAAGTGGGCATCTTTTTCATTTCTGGTGCTCTGGACTGGAGATCCCAGCTTGGGGTTTAGAACCCAGAGTTCTCAGTGGGAATCCCCCCCCCCCCCACAAAGCTAAGATATCTTTCTAGAACTTCAGCTGCTGTCTGTGGGAGCCCTGCCAGCAATTTCACAGCTCCACAATTCCTACCTGTCTCTATGTGGTCTCCACTTTCTGTCCTTGGCTATCAGAGTTCTCTCCAGCTAGTCTTCAGTTGATTATTCAGGATGGTTTTTCTGTAATTTAGTTATAGTTCCAGTTTGGTCTTGGGAGTGTGTCAGTGTAGCACCCTCTTACTCCACTGCCATTTTGGAATCTTCAAAATAGTCCATTTTATATAATTTTCTTAAATTCTCTGTGTATGTTTTAGGGGATAGTTTATCTTTCATTCATTTGATGCCAACTTCTGAAATATCCATTATATTCATCACTCCTTGTGATAAGTAACATTTAGAAAAGGAATGAAAGTACCTGGCTTCAAAATTTACAAATGGTTGGGGAAGTCAGAAACCTAAGTTAACAACCATGTAATAATTTTATTACAAGAACCATATGAAATTCTTCAATATAATGCCATTTAAAGCCATCTTTTAGCCCTGGTCAGTGTGACTCAGTTTGTTGCAGCATCATCCCCTTCATCAAAAGGTGACAAATTCCATATCTGATTGGGGCATGTTCAGGAGGAAACCAATTGATGTTTCTCTCTAACATTGATGTTTTTCTCTCTCTCCCTTCCTCTCCCTAAAATAATTTTTAAAAATAAGATAAAATAAAACTTTATTTTAAAGCCTGAATTTAAGTATTAAATATTTTTTAAAACCATAGATGTTAAATGCTGCAGTAGGGTACCTCTTTCCATCTTTTACCATATCATACCTCACATACTCCTTTGTTACCTAAAATCTAGGTCCTAGATTATATCCTAATATTTGTTTGCATTGAAGCATACCTTGAACACTATTGTATTTCTTTACCAATTCATTCAATCACCTAAGTATTTATTATTAAATGAATAAAAAAGCACAAACAACTAAAGACAAAATATCTACCCTCCAGTTCTTAATAATAAAGGAAAATAATACAAAGTGGATCACAACTCTCCCTTACCAAATGAGACAAAATATTTCATTTAAATTTCATAACCCTAAAGTTACTTGTTATACCAAATTTACGTGTTAGAAAAATGGAATTTAGAAAAGTTAAGCAACTCAGAACCATAAATTAGTAGGTAAAGAGTTAGGTTTCAACATGCTATACCTCCATTATCAATCTAAGTTAGTTTTCATATGCTAATGATAATAACAGTAACAATTAATATTAGGGAATGCTTAAAATGTATATATGTATAAAATGTATATATATGTATATAAAATATCATTATATATATATATAATTTCATATAACCCTCCTACCAACCCTCTGAGATAGCCACTATTATTTTCATATATAAAAAAACATGCTTATGGTCCAATCTAAGAATATGGTAAGACTGAGATCTTAACTACCTACATAATTTTAATTTTTATATCTATTGTATGATAACTACATATATAAAACATGTAAGAAATTTATTTTGCATAATAGAATGTTTTTCCTTTCTAGTATATTTTAATAGGCTATAAGACAAAACAGCCTAAGAATCAAGTGATTTACTCCTATATGCAAACAAAAGATAAAAATTTAACATAAATATTTTTCTATCTTTGCACCAGAAAGTTTATGTAAATGAAACCAAACATAAAAAGTATTACCCTCCAGAATATAGAACTACTTTCTGCAAAAAAGATCGGGATAAATTTTTAAACATCGTCATGATGCAGCTTCATTCAGAAATATTATGGCATTCTTTCCAGATAGGAAAGAGTTTGTTATTGGAGAGATTGGCTAAAAATTCTTATTTTCAAGAAAATAGAGCACTATATTAAAAGTTCTTCAGTGAATGTGGAGTTGCAGAGCACAATATCTGAAAACCTATGAATTGGGATTACAGAAACATTTTTTTCCTAAGTGACAGGTGCACTCTGTGACTAATCTGAGTCGGGTGGAGAAATAATGAAATATAGTACTCAGACATAAGAAATGTTGCAAATACTGCCATTTGCAACTCCATGGATGGATCTTGAAAATATCATGCTAAGTGAAGTAAAAGTCAGGAAAAGGAAAAAACCATATGATTTCACTCACATGTGGGATATAAAATGGAAACTCATAGACACAGACAGCAGTATGATGGTTACCCGAGGGAGGGGCGTAGTAAAGGGTAAAGGATGTCAAATATATGATGATTGAAGATTTGATTTTGGGTGGTAGGCACACAATGCAATATACAGTTGCTATATCATAAAATTGTACACTTGAAACCTATATAATTTTATTAACCAATGTCACCCCGATAAATCTGAAAAAAGAAAGTGAGTCAGGAAAAACAAACAAACAACTCTTAAATATGCATGAGTTACTCTTTATCCTCCTTTCAGATAGTGATAAGAATAGCAACTATTTAATTCAGGAAATTTAATGTTTTACAGTAAGAATGTTTTGTATTTGCATGGGTCCAGAAGTTACTGGGAATTTTATTTTTGTCTAATAGTTCTACTTATTGGCAATCTATAGATTCACAATGAACTTAAGGTGAATGAAAGAAGGAATCAGCCTTAATGATCAAAATCATCCCTAGAATGCATACACATAATAGACTCCCAAGTTACAAAAACAATTTTTTGGAAGAAAACTGTTACTATAGAATATCCTAAATCTGGCCCTGGCCAGTGTGCCTCAGTTCGATGGGCACCATCCCATGCACATGAAGGGTTGTGGGTTCCACTCCTGGTCAGGGCACATGCCCAGGTTTCATTGTGTGCAGGAGATAACCGATCTATGTTTCTCTCTCACATCACTGTTTCTTTTTCTCTTTCTTTTCCTCTCTAATAGCAATAAAAACATTTCTTTTTTAAAAAAGAATATCCTAAAACTGCTCTGGTTGTTAAAAAATCCATAAAAATATTTTATAGATAAATAATATTTCCATTGCTCATTTATCCTCTAAGTACAACTGATAAAGTATAGTATAATTCTCTATAAAATATATACAGGGTGGGGCAAAAGTAGGTTTATAGTTGTGAGTATGCAAAACACAAAATTTATTCTTGCATCATTATTTATTAATTACTGTATTATTTTCACTCTGTATATATAAGTAGCACAGTTCCTGGCATATATGATGCACATGACATCTAGGAAAAAATGTACAGTGATCAAGAATATAGGATCTGGCCCTGGCTGGTTTGGCTCAGTGAATAGAACGTTGGCCTGTGGACTGAAGGGTTCCTGGTTTGATTCCGGTCAAGGGCACATGCCTGGGTTGTGGGCTCTATCCCCAGTAGGGGGTGTGCAGGAGGCGGCTGATCAAAGATTCTCTCTCATCATTGGTTTCTATCTCTCTCTCACTCTCCCTTCCTCTCTGAAATCAATATATATATATATATATATATATATATATATATATATATATATATATGATTTGGAGCCAGATTGCCACAATTCAATTCCTACTTCCAACACAAAAATTATATGCCTTTAAACAAGTTACTTAACCTGTGTATATACCTCAGTTTTCTCATTATAAAACTTAGTTGATAATGTTATCTACTGAAAATTTTATGAAGTTTAAATGAGTTAGTATATGTAAAATACTTAAAATAGTCCTTAGTTATATAATATATTATTATTTTTAAATCAAAAATTTAAAATCGAGCACAGATAAAATTAGTCAATAAAAATGCTGAAGCACTATAACCATTTTTCAATGCTTTACCAAGTTAGCAGACTAAAATAAAACAAGAACACACAATTATAGCAAGCTATTAAATATTAGCAACCAAGCCCCTTTATGGAGGTCAATTATTAGCTGGTTTTGCTTTAAAAAATAGTTCAGATATACACAAATCTAGCAATTATCTGAATCATTGTTTTAGCTTTATAAATCCATTATCTATTTATCAAGACTATATTATCACTTTTTTACAAATCACTGTATTTCATGACAATGTCATTTTTGTTATTACATTTCACACACACTCAATTGCACTCACATTTACTGCAGACAAGTCAATTGTATCCAATTCACAAAGAGTGCACCCACTGTCCTGTGTCCATGCATTAGGTACATAGTTTCCAAAATAGTTCAGGAGAATCTAGTAAATAAAGGAGAACTGTTTCAACAAAAGTAATCCTCTAATCTCAATGTACTTTTGTTCCATGTAATTGGTACATATAACTGGGTACATTTCTTTAATAATTCTACTAATATTTATCACTTAGAGGTACATACTGAACAATGTTATCTCCAGATAATGAACTATAAAGTAGATCAAACTTTCTCTAGAAATGCCAAAAATGCAGTATAAATCATATAGGTGTATATATATAATATGTTAATTATCTCTCCGACCATTCGACCTTTTGACCAGTTGCTATGATGTACACTGACCACCAGGGAGCAGGCGCTCCAACCGGTAGGTTAGCTTGCTGCTGGGGTCTGGCTGATTGGGATTGAGTGAGACAGGCTGGACATACCCTGGAGCCCTCCTGCGGTCCCTCCCAGCCCAGAACGTGAACCAAAGGGGTCCCTCGGCCTGGCCTGCACCCTCTCGCAATCCAGGACCCCTCAGGGGATGTCGGAGAGCTGGTTTCAGCCCAATACCCACAGGCCAGGTCAAGGGACCCCACCTGTGCATGGGCCTTTAGTTTCATTATGTAAGGAATGATATCAGAAGAGACACAATTAAAAAAAAAGTCAAACAATGAAACATACATTTTTAATTAGGTTAATGAGACTTATTAGAAAAACACTACAAGTAAAAGCAGTCATGTGAAGAGTAAATTAGTAATAAGATAAATGTTTAAAAGATCAGCATAGATAATTACAGTGAATGGGGCAGTGGCAGTGTGATCTCTTACTAATCATCACCACACAAAACAAATACTATATAAACTTGATTACCAAAAGGCACTAAACTATGCTACTTACTGTCAAGTAGGCTTCTGGGGCACTGATTTCAGGAAAAAAAAAAAAGCTTGCATATTAAAACAAGCTCCTAATTACAGCCCCCCACAAATCCTATCAACAATAAACTAAAGTACAATACTGCTTCCCACCCACCCACTTCAGATCTAAAAGAGCATCTCCTTTGTGACTCCTTTTCCTCTCCTTAAACACATGTTGGCATTCCTTTTTTCTGTAAAATCTGGGTCCTTGTGTGTGTTCTGGATGAGGAAGAGGGTGAGAGAATACGGATGGAGAAAAGAGATAAACACTGTAAGATATATTCTCAGCACTCAAACAAATCTTCAATATACCTAGATTTAAACATCTTAGGGAAAATTCTGCCAATTTACTTTAAAAAATTACTACACTTTCCCTAACCAGTTTGGCTCAGTGGATAGAGCATCAGCCTGTGGACTGAAGGGTCCCAGGTTCGATTCCAGACAAGGGCATGTACCTTAGTTGCGGGCTCATCCCCAGTAGGGGGTGTGCAGGAGGCAGCTGATCGATGTGTCTCTCTCATCGATGTTTCTAGCTCTCTATCCCTCTCCCTCCTCTCTGTGAAAAATCAATAAAATATATTTTAAAAAAATTACTACACTTGCCCAAGCCAATTTGGCTCAGTGAATAGAGCATCAGTCTGTGGACTGAATGGTCCTGGGTTTTATTCTGGTCAAGGGCACATACCACAGTTGCAGGCTCCATCCTGGCCCTGGTCAGAAGGCAACCAACCAAGGTGTGTCTCTCACATCTACGTTTGTCTCTGTCTCTCCCTCTCCCTTTCACTTTCTTTAAAAACCAATGGAAAAATATCATTGGGTGAGGATCAACAACAGAAAATTACTACAGTTTCTGCTGCACTTTTTTTAAAAAAAATTTAAATTGATTTCAGAGAGGAAGGGAGAGGGGGAGATAGATAGAAACATCAGCACACCCCCCACTAGAGATCGAGCCCACAACCCAGGCATATGCCCTGACTGGGAATTAAACCATGACCTCCTGGTTCATAGGTAGATGCTCAACAACTGAGTCATGCTAGCCAGGCTCCACTGCATTATTAATACCTGTAGTGGTATGAACATCTGCAGATCTTTATTTTTTATTACTTACTATGTCTTTTCACAAACTAATTATTTTACTTCAAGACAGTGAAGCTGTAGCAAACTAACTGGCTATGACTTTCTTACTTTTAACAGGAAGCAACTGAAATCCTTATTATGCTTATATCCTTGACTCTTCATTGGAAAGGTGAGATGGACTCAAAAGAAAAAGATGTCTATCCATTAAATATGATGGTAGAAAACATACAGAAGTGCCAAGTAAATTTTTCTAGCTCCCTAAGACTCTAAAAAAGATCTTAAGGTATAGGACAATTGAGGTAATCAGTCCAGTACAATTCTACAAAAATCCTCCAAAATATCTGAGATTTCATCCAAATATTTCTATTGTACTAAAACTTAAAAATGCTGTTAAAACAAGTACAATATCAATTACAATGGGAAAATCTGTGTTAGATATTGTAGACTGAGTTACATTCAATCTGTAGAGCATACAGAAGACATGAACAGCAACTAACTCACTCACATTTCTTACAAACTACATGATAATTCAGGAAAAAAATTCCAAGGCAGGAAATATGTAGTTATGGCATTAGTTAATGTCACTTCAAAAGTCAATATGGTCACTCTGATGTGCCTCTATACCAAAAAAATTTTGAAGTTGTAAACTTACAGATGCAAACGTTAATCATTCATGTTCTATACAAAATTGTTTTTGAAGGAAAAAATAAAGCAATTCATGTGAAAATAAATCTTTTATTTAGTACTAGAGGCCCAGTGCATGAAATTCGTGCATGGGAGGGGGAAGTCCCCTCAGCCCAGCCTGCACCCTCTCCAATCCGGGACCCCTTGGGAGATGTCCGACTGCTGATTAGGCCCAATCCCTGGGATCGGGTCTAAACCAGCAGTCAGACATCCCTCTCACAATCCTGGATCGCTGGCTCATAATTGCTCACCTGCCTGCCTGCCTGGTCACCCCTAACTGCACCCCCCTGCCAGCTTGTTCACCCTTAACTGCCCCCTTGGCAGCCTGTTACCCCCAAAGGCCCCCCTATGCCAGCCTGGTAACTCCTAACTGCTCCCCCCCCCCGCTGGCCTGATTGCCCCTCACTGCCTCTGTGTGCCAGACTGGTCACCCCCAAGTGCCCCCCCTGCCATCCTGGTCATCCCCAACTGCCCCCAAGCCGGCCTAGTTGCCCATCACTGCCCTCCCTGCCAGCCTAATCGCCCCCAATACCTCCCCTGCCCGCCTGGTCACCGCTAACTGCCCTCCCGCCAGCCTGGTTGCCTCTTACTGCCCCCACCAGCTGGCCTAGTCACCCCCAACTGCCCCCATCTGCTGGCCTGTTCACTCCTAACTGGCCCCCAAAGTCAGCCTGGTCACCCCCAACTGTCCCTCCTGCTGGCCTGGTTGCCCCCAACTGCCCCCCCTGCCGGCCTGGTTGCCCCATGCAGCCTGCTGTTCAGTAGTTTGGTTGTCCCTCACTATCACCCCTGCCAGCCTGGTTGCCCCACACAGCCTGCTGTTCAGTCATTTGGTCATCCCTCACTAACCCCCCTGCTGGCCTGGTCACCCCACACAGCCTGTTTGTTCAGTCGTTTGGTCATCTCTCACTTACCCCCCTGCCGGCCTGGTCGCCCCACGCAGCCTGCTGTTCAGTCGTTTTGTTGTCCCTCACTAAACCCCTGCCGGCCTGGTCGTAGGCAGCCATCTTGTGAGGGTGTGAGGGTTAATTTGCATATTACCTCTTTATAATATAGGATTATTTACAAAAGAGATTTTTTAAAGATTAGTGGGAAATATACAGTTTTGTTTAAAATATCCTGGGAAATAATTTTTTCTTTTATTTGACATATTCTTTATTCTTTGGTCAGGCCATGATTCTGTTCAAGGATGGTTCGATTCACAGTAGCTGTTTTACCCTTATTTTTCATCATGACCGCTGACTTTTTCTTTTCTTTTTTTTTGCTTAAAGTATTACAAAGGGTATTACATATGTGTCCTTTCCCCCCCCCCCACCCTTGACAATCCCCTGGCCTCCCCTACCCCCCAGTGTCTTATGTCCATTGGTTATGCTTATATGCATGCATACAAGTCCTTCAGTTGATCTCTTACCCCCCTCCCTCCTGCCCCCCAACCCTCCCTGGGCTTCCCGCTGCAGTTGACAATCAGTTTGAGGCAGCTCTGCGTCTTGTATCTATTATTGTTCATAAGTTTATAATGGTCTTTATTATCCATGAATGAGTGAGATCATGTGGTATTTTTCCTTCATTGACTGGCTTATTTCACTTAGCATAATGCTCTCCAGTTCCATCCATGCCGTTTAAAATATCCTGGGAAATAATTTTTTTTAAAGGAAGAAAAAGATCGCCCAAATAGTTGGCCATACCTAAAATTCCCATCTATATATAAACATTAGTACTTCCATTACTAGTACTTCCCTCACCTCAGACACCTCACAAAAAATAAATATTTATTTCATGCATTATTGATTAGTCTATTAGAATTCCAATGTGAATATGAAAATGACAATATTTTTTAAAAGGCCTGAGCATAAAACTCATTAGTTTTAGTTCTCAAAATTAAAACTTTATTTTCTAACCTTTCTACCTCAATTCATTTTTCATAGATAATTAAGATATATGAAAACCCTGACTTTTGACTGGAAACCTTTATTTCTTAACCTTTCTACCTTAATTTATTTTCATAGATAATTAAGATACATTTAAAACCATGACTTTTGACTGGAAACCTCCCTCTTGGATTTTTCACCACATAGGCAGAGGTCACCTACCACACTGGCCTTCCATTTACATCTGTTTTCTTCATTAAAAATTGCAAACATTTATGCTGGCAGCTAAGAAAAGTACAGAAAACTGTTTATGTAGTTAGGCTGTTCTGGGAAGGCCCCAGCTACTACATGGCAGTGCTTTCCTAGTCCTTCTTTCACAATATCAAGATGTTTCCAAGTATCATGTCATTTCATTGGCAAATAAACTTTTCCAACCATATCCTTTCTTTTTTTTCCCAGATCATTCAATGATTCAAGTTCACAGTAACCAAGGCATGGTGGTTTTTATGCAAAAAGTA